AGATGGAAAAAGCAGCGGGAAAGCTGGGAAGGGTTCAAAACAGGAGGTGAGAACACACCCCTGGCAGAGAAATCCTGCCGGCTGGGACTTACCCTGATGAAGCAGGAGCAGCAGCAAGAGAAGATCCGGGCAGGGCATCCTCCTCCACGGGCAAGACCAAGAAAGGAGGGCTCCCAGCAGGGCGGGCGAGCCGAGCCCAGCCGCTCGCCTGTGGTGTGGCACCAACTGGGGCTGTCCGGTCCTGTGGGAGGGTCCTGTGCCCGGAGGGGAACACCGAGGGGCTTCCAGAGAGCTGCGAAGGGCCTCGGGCCACCCTCTCGACCTGTCCGGGGAGAAGAAACAGTTTTCCTGTCCTGCTCTTACTTTTTGTTTTCTGTGCTGAACTTTTGGCCATAAGTCTGGGAGTGCCAACATTTACTAGAGATGAACAAACGGGTAATATTTATGGATTTGGAGATAGCTGTGCCAGGTGTTTGAAACATACCAACTGGGAAAAGTACACTGAGGCAGTTGGCTAGGTGATGAATTTGGCAGGATGGCCTAATGGGGAGAGGTCATGAAGATCCTTTGCCCAGGAAGGCCAGACGGCAGTTTGGGAACAGACAGTGGAGAATGGAAAAATGGTTTTCAAAAAAGTAGCCGTGTTTATCTCAGCCAAACTATGGGGGTAGAAGAAGGGGAAACAGGATCCCACTTTGAAGACTTTCCCCCAGCATTTCCCCCTAGAATAAACAGGTGTGTTCCATGAAACACTGAAGTAAATAAATACGTTGGTCTTTAAAGGACCCTTTTCTTTCTCTTTCTTTCCCTCCCTGCTTTTCCCTTTTTAAATTTTCCAGCAAGAAAAATGAGGAGTGATGGATTAATTTTTTTTGTCAAAAGGGCTTATCTCAGTGATATGTCTCTAGCATCCAAGTAATGTGCAGATGAGAAAATGACAGAAGCTGGCGATGTAGGTGGCTGTCCGCTCTTGGCATTTCTTGAGGACCATGAGGGTGCCCCGGCACCCCACCTTGTTCTCCACAAAAGCAACCCTTGTGAATACACTTTGCAGTAAAACTTTTTGGTTGAGTTGTTGAGAGGGAATCAAAGAAAGCAGCTGTTTTGAAAAGACCAGTTAATAGACCAACAGCTGCAAAACATTTCTGTTGCATCTTACTGGGGGAGTGTCTCTCCTCCTTTGATGGTATCTTTAAGAAGGATGGGATTGCTGGATCCTGTGTGCCCCCCCACCAAAAAAAATCAGAGGTAAAAATAATTGTTTCTTTAGAAATGGAACTTCTACCTGTGCATGTTTTTTTAAATGATTCCCCATATTCTTTAGTTAGTCTGTTTACATACATAAATTATTCCAAAGAGAGTTTCATATTTGCAGATGCTTGTTTTTCCATTCCTAGTACTGTTACAGTCTTAAGGAAGATTTCTCGTTGCCTCAGTTGCATGTAAATTTGCCATTATGGACTAGACAGTGTTATTGATGGCTATGATTCTTCCTTTATGATGCTGATTCTTAGGGTCTCCTTTCTTATCAGTACCTAGCGCTGTGGGCTAAACCGCAGAAGCCTGTGCTGCAGGGTCAGAAGACCAGCAGTTGTAAGTTCGAATCCACGCGACGGAATGAGCAACCGTCGCCTGTCCCAGCTCCCGCCAACCTAGCGGTTCGAAAGCATGCAAATGCGAGTAGATAAATAGGGACCATCTCGGTGGGAAGGTAAACAGCGTTCCGTGTCTAAATCACACTGGCCATGTGACCACGGAAGATTGACTTTGGACAAACGCTGGCTCTATGGCGGGGTGAGCGCCGCCCCCCAGAGTCGGACACGACTGGACAAAAATTGTCAAGGGGAACCTTTACCTTCTTATCAGCAGGTGAGTCATTCTGGGTGGGGATGGGGGCGGCCAGGAGCAATTCAGAATAAGGCCAGAGCAACACAATAGAAGGCTCTTCCCAGCCGGAGGGCTGTACCACCCCAGCCTTTTAAGATGTAGAATAAAGTGGGGTTTGGATCACTCCCAGGTGAGTGTGCATGAAAGCAGCCTGATGGTTTCTATTTTGGGGGGATGAAGGGTGGGGAGGGGAATATTCAATATACTTCTTTCGTTTTGTAAAGTTGTGGCCTCTGCGCAGTAAAATTAGTTAGAGAAAAACCCACATAAAATATTTTTCTTTCCTGGTTCTTAAAGTGTTCACTTCCATGAAGGATTTTGAGAACACGAGGACTGAATTTCAGCTCAAAAGCAGGGTGGCAAGGGAGTGGAGAGGACATGCAAGCCTGCACAGGTACTTTTTCTTCAAGAGAATCCCCCTGCAAAATTTCCTCCACGTCCTCATCAGAGTTGAGTCTTGTGTGTGTGCGCTACGTAAGAGCGAAACAGTAACTTGCTTGTTGGAGTGGGTGGACGTAGTACAGCATTTTTACAATCTCTTCGGTTATCATCCCCAAGGAGAGGGGTTCTGGAGTGTGTTAAAATTTGGTCCTTAAAATCTGCCAATGTTTGCTTCAGAAGGCTACTCAGAACAAGATTTCTAAATGTACATACGTATATCTAAAGAGCAAACTATGATCGGAATTTGATGCCAGGAAATAACTTACAACTCCACAATACAAAAATATGTCCGAGGAAACTGAATTTCTCTAGCAGTACACAAGCAGGATTGAATTCTTTGAAGATTTAGATCAAAACCATGTGGATATTATGGATAAATACTGCATACATTTAAATACTTTGCTATTTAAAAATGAAGTGCTGCAGAAAAACATTAAACCTATGACTTTAAAACTGTGGTGCTCTGGAATCAGTTATAAAATCTTGTGAGTTGGGATTGTGATATTCAGAAATGACTCACACAGAATTTCTGAGAAAAGCAGAATGGGTTCATGCTTCAGTAGCCGTGGCTAGGCTGAGTTATTTTAAAAGTGGGGAAATTTAAACACTTGCAAAGATCAAAAATGTGTCAGAAATTTAAAAAGGCAAAGAGAAGAAAAAAAAACCATTTAAAAAATTCGTGGCGTTGCCATCCTCGGCCTTCGAGAATACATTGCAGTCCTGGGGCTGTCAGGAAATCTGACTGAAGGTTTGATCCTGCCTCCTCAGTGCTGTGGTCCTCCTCTGAATCTCTGGCAGGGGCCTCTCCCTTCTTTAACATCGGGAGACCCTATTCATACAGCCTTGACCACCTGTCTTCGGCTGGTGCGCTCTGAGCAGAGCCTCCTAATTTTAACCATCTCCCTAGAAGTACCTCACCAGCAGGTAGACAACCAGCGGGATCTAGAGGCACAGCGAGGCGGCTCCGAGACTGGGAGACCGGAGTTCAAATCCCGACTGAGCCGCGGGCACTCGTTGGGTACCTGGGTGGCGGCAACGATGAAACCACTCAAGGGCAGCCTGGGTGGTCTTCTCCCGGGGCCTGGCCGCGCGCCTGGCAGGGAGAAGGTTTCGGCTCCTGCAACGGGGATCGGCAGCCCCGGCCAGGAAGGCTCCCGTTCTCCCGCGCGGTCCAACTCCGGGAGCGCTCCGCGCGCGCGCGCGGGGTGGGGGAAACGACATCCCGGTTTCCCGCCCGGCCGCCCTCGCCCTCCGGTCCTACCCTCTGCTTGGTCCTCCGGTCCGGCTGGACTTCGTCCCCGGCGGGTTCCCGCGCTGCTGCTGCCTGTGCTCTTGCCGGCCGCCCCTGCCGAAGGCACTGCGCCCCGGCCGGGTGACTCATAACCAAACCGGGCGGGGAGGCGGGCTGGGCTGACGTCACCCGGGCCCCGATTCCGGGACAGGCAGAAGGATGTGGGGAGGAGGAGGGGGGGAAGGGCCCGGCCCAACTGCCCGGCTCCGGGCGAGGCGGGAGGCAAGCAAGCTGGAGCAACGGCGGCAGAGGCCAGCGGGGACACCGGTTGCGCCGAGGCAGCCAGCCAAACTTTCTGCGCCCCTTGCGAACTGGCTGCCGGTCCGGTTGGGAGCCGCCC